TCAGCGGGCAGGAGGAGGTTACGAGGATAGTCATTTTCAAGCATGGCATGGAGCTGCAATGACGTCGTAGCAAGATTGTGTATAATGAGAGGGTAAATATAATATTAATAAGATTGTATAATATTAAATTTTACTTTATTGTCTATAATTAACATTTAATCTTGATCTATTGCTGAGGATCTATTTTGGCGGCATTGTCACATTTTATGCCTTGGACGATGCTCAAAGCCTGCTACTGAGGTCACATTTGCAGGAGATCCTTGTGTTGTTATTGTGACGTTTCGGGGTCAGGAAAACTAGCTAGATTTTATTTCATGGCATTTTGCTATGCACTTGTTATACTTTCCCCTAGGCCAAGAGCATATACTTATCAAGCAACTTTTTTGATTTTAGTGTTATCAGAGCCCACATGAAAAAAAAAATCATATCAGAGCATGCCACATCAAAATATATAATAAAAAAATTGTATATCTAAAATACTTACCCAACATATATTGTTTTGTTATAAACACATGTTGGTTTATACGCAGTCGTGCTTTTGATCGACACTGCAGAACCTGATTTATTTTTATGTGCGAGAGCAGCTCAGTGCCCCTCCATCCATATGGCATGGAGTTTTTGAGCATCCGGTAATGCTTTTTTTATTGTGAGATATTGCTGTCACATTTTGATAGCTTTAGCCTAATCAGCGGGCAGGAGGAGGTTATGAGGATGATCATTTCCAGGCATGGCATGGAGCTATGATGACGTTGTAGCAAGATCGTGTATAATGTGACAATAAGTATAATATTAATAAGATTGTATAATATTAAAATTTACTTTATTTTCTATAATTAACATTTAATCTTGCTTTGTATCTAGGTCAATGTGGACCAAGAGATGGAGTTTATAGTTTTATCGACTATCTTATATCCATTGTTGATGATCTATTTTGTCTGCATTGTCACATTTTATGCCTTGGACGATGTTCAAAGCTTGATTATAAAGGTCACCTTTGTAGGAGAGCCTTGTGTTGTTACTGTGACGTTTCTGGGTCGAAGACTAGCTAGATTTTATTTCATGACATTTTTCTATGTACTTGTTATACTTTCACCTAGGCCAAGAGCAGATACTTGATCGAGCAACTTTTTTTTATTTTAGTGTTATCAGAGCACACATGAAGAAAAAAAATCATATTAGAGCATGCCACATCTAAATATATATATAAAAAAAATTGTATATCTAAAATACTTACCCAATATATACTTTTTTGTTATATACACATGTTTGTTTATACGCAGGGGTGGTTTTGATCGACATCGCAGGGACCTGAATTATTTGTATGCGCGAGAGCAGCTTAGTGCCACTCCTTTGTTATGGCATGTAGTTTTTGATCATCCAGGCATGCTTTTTACTATCCATTGTGAGATATTGCTGTCACATTTTGATAGTTTTCGCCTAGTCAGCGGGCAGAGGAGGTTACGAGGATGGTCATTTTCAGGCATGGCATTGAGCTGCGATGGCATCGTAGCAAGATCGTGTATAATTAGACTGTAAGTATAATATTAGTAAGATTGTATAATATTAAATTTTACTTTATTTTCTATAATTAACATTTAATCTTGCTTTATATCTAGGTCAATGTGTACTAGGAAATGAAGTTTATAGTTTCATCGACTATCTTAGATCCGTTGCTGATGATCTATTTTGGCGTCATTGTCACATTTTATGCCTTGGACGATGCTCAAAACCTGCTAGTGAAGGTCATCTTTGCAGGAGAGCCTTGTGTTGTTACTGTGATGTTTCGGGGTCAGACTAGCTAGATTTTATTTCATGGTATTTTGTTATGTACTTGTTATACTTTCACCTAGGCCAAGAGCAGATACTTGATCGAGCAACTTTTTTGATTTGTGTGTTATCAGAGCCCACATGAAAAAAAAAATCATATAAGAACATGCCACATCTAAATATATAATAAAAAAAATTGTATATCTAAAATACTTACCCAACATATATATTCTTTTGTTATAGACACATGTTTGTTTATACGCATTGGTGCTTTTGATCGACACCGCAGGGACCTGATTTATTTGTATGTGCTCAGTGTCCCTCCATCGATATGGCATGGAGTTTTTGAGCATCCAGACATACTTTTTACTATCTCTAGTGAGATATTATTACTCAATGGAGGCGTTGACTCTGTGTGCTTCATTAGGTTGAGAAAGTATGTTTGAACACATATTACAATGTAATAGAGTTAGTAGCATTTAAAAAAAAAAGAAAATCCATTCAGCCTAGACACATCAAATGCTTAGATGGCTGCCTAGACTGAATTTTTACAATACTTCATTTTTATATTATTGTGTTATTAATTAACTTAATCCTTAACATTTGTACAAATATGAAATTAAATAATTGAAGACTTACACTTAATTTCAACTAGTGTGATGACACATCTATTATCATTCTAAATAGGTCGTTATAGGATAAGATCAAATCTTGATCGTGGAGACCTTGATTCTTGGGTTTTATACTCGGCTTTACAAATCCCAAATTAAATTATTAATGACTCAAAATTCTTCCAGTCGCAATGGCTACTCTAGTGCTTCACTGCTTTGGCACCACAACCACCTTGAGTCATGTCATCATGTCAACCATCTTAAATGATTTTATTTTGGAAAAAAAGATCAAATAAGTCATTCAATTTTATACAAAAATACCAAATTTATAATTAAGTTCATGAACTTTTAAAAATACAATTAAATTCATCAACATATTTGATGTAAGGGAAAATGGCACTTTTTCTCCCTGAGTTATATACTTATAGCACTTTTCCCCCCTCAATTATTCAAGTGGCTGTTTTTCCCCCTAAAATGTTAAATGGACATATTTACCCTTAAAATAAATATTTTATTTATTTTTCTTCTCCAATAAATTATGACCATAATTTGGTTCAAACCAAATAAACACTATAGCAACCAAACTGAAATATTCCAATTACAATTTAGAATCGAAACTCGATATTTAGAGTTTATTAAAATCCCGGAACGGATGGTTCATGTTCTGAACTGAAAAAATAAAATACATTTATTGTTGAATTTAGACTATTTTTAAAATAAAAATAAAATTTTAAAATAAAAACGGTTCAAAATCGCGAATCGGGTCCGGAACCGCCGGTTCACGGTTCAGGATCCAATTTTTTTGATTCATAATTTTAATAAATTGAAATCCAAATATTGGGTTCTAGATCTGAATCATAACCGGAAAGTTTTAATTCGATTGCTATACTGTCCGATTCAGTTCGAACCGAATCGTGGTCATCCCTACATATACGCAATAATTTGTTGGAGAAGTAAAATAAATAAAATATTTATTTTAAGGGTATAAATGTCAATTTAATATATTAGGGGGAAAAACCACCACTTTTAGAATAATTGAAGGGGCTAATGTGCTTACCTAAATAATTGAGGGGGAAAAAGTGCTATAAGTATATAACTCAGGGGGAAAAAGTGCCATTTTCCCTTGATGTAATGAAACCCAAAAATCTATTAATGACCTGTTATAACAAGCATTGTTTAAAAAATCGCTAGGCACCCGTGTATTTTTTATTTTTTATTTTATTTTTTATTTTTTATTTTTTATTTTTTATAAATATGTTTAAATTTTTAAATTTTTTTTAAAAGACTAATATAAACTATTTAATATTTTAATAGTTAATACTAAAATATTAAATATTAACCTAAAAACATCTCAAGTTTGAACAATATAGGGTTATTTCATTCAAAACGATGTCAAAAGGATGTCGTTTTGAGTGGAATAACCCACTTAAATTAAAAAAAAAAAAAAAAAAAAAAAAAAAAAAAAAAAAAAAAAAAAAAAAAGCTAATCGGTTGACTGGGTGGTTTAGTCGGCACCTAGAAGGCCTAGGCGGTCAGCGCCTAAGCGGCCTAGTCGGTCGACCACGCTAGACTATTGATTATGGTGGCTAGGCGGTCGGCCAGCGGCGCCGATTAATCGGCGCTTAGACAAAATTTTTACAACATTGATAACATGTCACTAGGGTTTTCAAAAATTCCGACAATATTTTGGGTACTCCAACGACATTCCAACGAACTACAAAAATTAACTCCGACGAAATCAAAGAAGGATCCATAAGAATGCTCGGTGGTTGCTATCTCACAGAGAAGGCAACCACCTGGGTCGCCTTCTCTCACAGAGAAGGCGGCCACCTCGGTCGCCTTCTCTGCAAGATGCGACCCACTGGTGGTCGTCTTCTCTCACAGAGAAGGCGACCAGATGAGAAGGCAACCCATGTGGCTGCCTTCAGAGACCGTCTCACAGAGAAGGCAACCATTGGGGTCGCCTGGAGAAGGCAGTGAACGATGGGTCGCCTAAAGAAGGAAACCACTCGCCTTCTCTAGGCAACCACTATGGTCGGCTAATCGCCTTCTCGGTGAGAGATGGTGATCTTGTAGTTGTTCAATGAACGGTCGGTAATTTTTTTTTTTTCAAGTTTAACGGCAATGGTCAACTCTAATCACGGTAGTCATCGGTAGCTAAGAGTGATCAACAATGATCAATGACTGCTTGTATACCAGTAACCTATTGGTAAGGTTACCGGTAAATTAGATTCTATTTGACCAATTTTAACAAATTAGAAGTATTTAATTGCACTTTTTAAAAATTAATGGACCTAATTACACTTTTGTGTAAAATTGAAAGACTTATTTGACTCTTTTTTCTTTTTAAATCAAAACACCTAGGCAAGAATTCGAGATAAATAATTTGATCTCAGACCTTCTAGGTATGAGGTCAAGAGTTCGAACCTACAATTATAAGAGTTGCTAAACTTGGCATTTGTCTACCACTTTACCCTACACATGGTCCCAAACCACATATGCATACCAAAATGAGAATGGATAACATTTTGAACAGAGTGACAAGATGATAAGACCTTTCTGAGACTGAATAAGGATAGAGAATAATGTCTTCTTGACAGAACTATGGTATGCAATTTCACATATGCAAGAGCAGGTGGATATGGACAGCACCAAACAGATATGATGTGGTCTAAAAACAGCTTCAAGGAATAAGACAATGGAGATCATAAAATAACATACAAATGTAAACATTTCAGATCTTGAAAGCAAACGTCGAATGTTCAGCAGAAATTGGAGTTTATTCTAGAAGAGAGCTTTGATTTCATGTACAAACAGACATTTAACGAGCCCGTCATATCAATTCACTTAGGGATCAGCTTTGCCTGCAATTTCCTCGTCACTGGAAGCATATTCGTCTTCGCTCACCTCATCATCGCTAGACTTCTCTTCCGGGGCAACCCCTGCATCTGTAGCCTTGGCATATTTTTCACAGAACTCTGAAAGTAAATGGGACGAGAATATGAGAAACGAGATGTTTCGCCAAAACCAACAGCTACTATTAGATGTATATATTGCGGAAAACAGAATGGTTTTATGTAAGAAATTTACGAAATACATGACAGGAAGACAGTGATTAAGTCAGTTGAAGGTCAAGATTAAGAGTTCATTCAATAATAGTTAGAATTTAATACCAATATCTAACGCACTTTGCAAGAATAATGCTCCTAAGAGGCTAAGAAACAAGGAGGTAGTGAAACACACAGTTGAGGATAAGAGGATAAAAATAATAGCAAGTGTCATTGCCAGACAACATTTCACAAAGTACATTGATATAGAGCTCTCGATCTCATTGGCATTTTAAGCTCTCATTTCTTTAAGGGTTTCTTTCAACTTTGTAATTCCAAAATAACCCGCAAATCCTGACTAAGGTTACCTATCATGTCCAAATATCAGTAATCTGCATCGCTCTTGATAAAATGGACAACTTTTAATCCCTGGAAGAATGGTCATTTATTCCTGACAATTCAACTGTGATTGAAACAATTGAAAGTGAAGCTATCCTATTCCGAATATGCAAAGAAACGAATTTCCCCATCTAAACTTAGAGAATTAATCAAAATGGCAAACAATACGCAATAAAGAAAATGTTTCAAAACTTTAAAATCACAGATGAATCCATTACGCAGAAAAATCTTGTGTCCAGAGGCAATAAACAAGAAGAAAACCACTAGACTTAATCAGGCAATGGAATGTAGTAGAGTGCCAGTACTGCTCGAGTCAAAAACTATTTATACTCCCAGAAAAAATCGCATAGTCCAAAAGCTCCTTAAAAGCTTCCAATTGATTGGAATGGAGGTGCTACGTCCTACTGATTCACCCAGAACTTAGAAACTGATTCATTGTAGAACCCAATAGGGAGTTTTCAGCACTCCCATATAAATGCAAGGCAACAAATGATAGAAACACGGGAGGAATATTCACTTTAGGATATGGCATATGAGATGAATTTTTACCTTTCACTCTTTGTTCATAAGCAGTCCGATCACGCATCATAAGAGCAGCAGCTTCTCCATTCAGTGGATCCGATGGATTAGGATACAAAAGAAGCTGAGGAAGAAACACTTCGAACACATTTACCAGATCTGCAACGCATATATATAGATTGTCATCAAGCAACAACTGAAAGTTCTTATACAAGAGAGCCTTTAAAATCGTGAATTACCAAACATCGGGCTCCAAGTCTGATTTATAACATCTAAGCAAACTGAGCCAGACCTGCAAACTCAAAGCCATGGAAGTGTAGATTGTTAAGTCCATCGATCTTCCGCCCAATTCATTGCAATAACATGTAAAGAAGGGAAATTAGGCAAGAAATAATGCCCACCAACTCACATTTCATCAACATTTGGATGATAAATCTTATTGACAAAACCTATAGAAGGAGACTTGTAAGGATAGGCATCTGGCAGTTCCACCCTAACTCTCCATACACCTCCCTGATAAGGACCTGTCACAGGGCACAAAGATTACAAACAAAAAATGAAATAAGAAAAGGTCACATTTTTGGTTAAAATTTACAATCTATATTTCTTCAGAACATAACAACTAGGTGGACAAGATCTTCACTGTGAAACAACATAAAAACATATGATAATTGATAACACAAATTCTTATTTATCATTCACAGGCAAAGTCATTTGATCAGTTCTCTATAGCTAAAACCCAATAGCCAAAAAATCAAATTCAACAAAAAGCAAAACTTCAATCACAAAGATTGAACTTCAGTCCATCAATATAACAATAGAAGCTACTGTCTTGGCAGCTGAATCAGGGGAGTTACAAGTAAACAAAATGATTAGAAAAAAAAAAAAAAAAAAAAAAAAAAGAATCAAACAGAACACATAATATCATTTAAAATAATCTAACCTAGCTGAAATCCAGACACACACACACACACAAGTGAAACAAGAGAAGGGTATTTGCGGAACTTTACTCTCTTTGGGTCCATGAAATTCTACATAGAATTCCTGCATTCCATCATTGATCATCTCCACCTTGTAGTCACTCATCATCCTAAAGTTCCCACAACGAAAAACCCCGCAGAATAAAAATCCAATAAAACTTATTTTTTCTTTAACGGAAAAAAAAAAAAAAAAAAAAAAAAAAAAAAAAAAAAAAAAAAACCCATCAAAATCAAAAGAAAATTAAAGTTCTGGATTTGGGTTGTATTACAGTTTCATCAAGTCCATCTCTCTGCGCTTGCTTGGTGAAGACATGATTACTTTCTATTTCCTTGTTCTTTCTCCTTCAAATTCTTGTATTGAGAGGTTAGGCGACAGAAAAAATACACACAAAGAGGTGCGTTTATGTATAATATATATGGGTGTGTGAGAAAATTAAGAAGAGAGAGAAAAAGGTAGAGAGAGTTTCTTCACAAAGGCAAAGGCGGTTCAGACACAGTGGAGTTAAAGGTGGACTATCTGCCATTTTTTGCAGATGATTTTTTTTTTTACTTTATTTTTGTTCTTTTATATTTCATCCATTATAACTTTCCAAAGTGAAGAAAGTCACCCCAAAAAAAGTTGGGCAACCGAAAAATAGACTGTTTTTAAGAATAAATATCATTGATGAATGTTTATTCTGTTAGAATTTTCAATTTTCATTAATGTAAACTTCTAAAACCAAAAAAGGTAAAGGGGTGTATTTCATCATGACTTTTGTAAACTTTTCATATATACTTTCTCAACCTACTAAAGCTCATCGAGTCAATACCGTCAGGCTCAAATCGCTTGACCACAAGTACAAGATAATATTTGTTATATACTTTCTCTATCTATTGCAGCTTAAAGAGTCAATACCCCACCACCAGTTCGATCATGTGACCTTCCCTCTAGGGGAGTTACAGAGATGTCATATGAGTACAAGGTGCTTGATATATATATATATATATATATATATATATATATATATATATATATATATATATATATATATATTTTAAACTTTATGCAACTAGTAATTATATTTTTAAATATTTTATTTGAACAATGTTACTATAAATTTCAGTGTTCAATATTGTTATGAATTTCTTATGAAATAGTTTTTTTTTATGCTTATTAATACTATATAAGTAGTTAGCATATAAGTCTCACCATACTATGAATAAAAATAATAATGTTGAGAATGTTGATATCGGTGAAGAACTATATAATAAGAAGAATTTTATGATATATAATAACATGTTTTGTAAGAAAATTATAAATGATAAAAATCAAAATCATTGAAAGTTTGTAATTGATAAAAAAGTTTTGGACGACTCTATGAAAGTCCATAAAAGTTTATTAAAATCTATCATTTTAAAAATCTTTAAAAGTCTACAAAAGTCATGATTGAATAGACCTTCCTAAATCCCCAACCCTAAGGCTCCCTTGCTCCGACTCGACAAAGCATGTGGGAGGAAGTAAATTACGGTGACTAGCAGACAGGACCAAATGCTGGTGCGCACAAAGGATTTTCCCACTTTAAATATAATCCTCACACTGTCGCTGCCGAATTTTAAACATTGATCTATTCTCCCAAATACTACCTACTAAATTACTAAGTTAAGCCCGTGCGTAGTCATCAATGTAAATTCTACCCTAATTGGAGTGATGTTAATTGGAAAATAATAAATAAAATGAATTATCTTCCTCTTTTTCTCATTTCTTTCTCTCAAATTGTACTATCATTTTTCCTGTCATTCATAATAATTTTATTTAAGATTTAAGTCTCAAAAATTTTATCAACAATCAATGATTGTTTCTTCCATTGACAAAAAGATGTTTAGATTTAGACAATCATAGTTATTTTTGTTGTCGACAGACAATCAAATTATGTCCATCAATGAGATTTAGACAATCATAGTTATTTTTGTTGTCGACAGACAACCAAATTATGTCCATCAATGAGATTTAGACAATCATAATTATTTTTGTTGTCGACATACAACCAGATTATATCCGTCAATGAGATTTAGACAATCATAGTTATTTTTGTTGTCGACAGACAACCATATTATGTCCATTAATGAGATTTAGACAATCATAGTTATTTTTGTTGTCGACAGACAACCAGATTATGTCCATCAATGATATTTAGACAATCATAGTTATTTTTGTTGTCGACAGACAACCAGATTATGTCCATCAATGAGATTTAGACAAAACCAGATTATGGGTTGTTTCTGTTAAAAAAAATATTAGTAGTGTGTCATGTGCAATTGAGTTACTAGTGATAGCATAGAGGGCATCATCACGAAATGAGATTATGGTGTAAGAAGTTTTAGATTTGTCTTGCTGTGTATGACTGAGATCTTAGTTGTACTATGAACTCTTTATCTTGCAAGCGCATGTTGATATTTGGCAGTGGTAGTTTTTTTCCCTACACGTTTCATGTGTTGCGAGATGTATGTCGTATATTGTCATGTGAAAGTATTAAACAAAATATTAATATTTATTATATTTGTATAAAATACTTGGTAAATAAATATATAACATATTTTGCATTATAACTTTGATATTTAATTACAAGATAGTGTAAAAAGAAGATAATGGATAATGTAGTGAATATAATTAATTAATGAATTTGAAACTAATGAATCTTTGAATTGTAGAAAGTAAAGATAATATAACTAATGAAATTATATCTCTTTTTTTAATTTTTTCTATAATAAATAATTTTTTTTTTTGAATAAAGGCATTATAGACATCTAATTATAAATTAATTAAATGCATATGTATTATTTTTTGTTGTAACTACTAATTTAGTTAATTTAATAAGAGTAATAAAGTGAGGTACTTACTTTTCATCCACATTCGTTGTTGAGACAAATAAAGTGTTGTAGCTACTAATTTAGTTTGTTGTAGCTATTATTTTTTTTTTATCACCATTCGTTGTTGAGACAAATTATTTTGGGAGTTTGTCACTGACAATTGCTACAATTGTTGTTAATAGAAGATGATAATAAATAATTCGAAATTTATGGTTACAATAGATACTGTTATAATAATATAGTAAAAATTAACTTACAAATTTCTTTAGAAGTTTTCATGCATTGATAAAATTCTGAGAATGATGTGTAAACTTATTCAATTGGAGCTACTGGGATGTCAACATTGTCAATTCTTTGAAAAATGGTCCTATCATTTTAGAGTCCAGGTGTAGTTGTATTTCTAATCAACAACTTTGTAGTTAGGTCGCGCAAGTCTGACAATGATGTAAGAACAATTTTGTTCGAAAAAATAATAGTACAATATTTGTAAAGTAATGTACAATTGTATTATTATAGAAATACATACAAAAAATGTGAGTTAATTCTATTTTTTATCATAGATTTATAGGTGACAATCCACGTTTAGTCATTTTTTATCAGAACATCCACATTTGGTCCTAGTATTATTGTGGCATGACCATTTTTGGTCCTTCGTCAACAAAATTATTAAAATGTCATTAAATACAAAGGCATTTCGATCATTTTTATACAAAGTGGGTTGTTACATATAAATCTAGGACAAAAAATAGAATTAACTCAATATTAATACCATAATGACCTAAATCATTCCAATAATACAAAAGCATAATTGAAATATTGAGTCTTGTTCTAAATAATCAAAAGAAGATTAATTATATGAAAAAAAAATACTTAACCTAAATTTGTTTTTTTTTTTAAATGCAAGAAAATAATTTTCATGGTTCCTGATTTATAATCTTTGATGCTCAACTTTGAATATTATGTATTTAGTCGGTTTAATTATTTGACCAAAGTTTATATTAAATTTTATATTGTATTTTTAATACATTTTTTTTAAAAAAAAATTAATACATTTTTACATTTCCTCAAAAAAAAAATACATTTTAACATATTTGTAGTATATGTTTAACAATTATGCCAACTCTGATTGGGATGTGGTTCGAACCTAAGACATTTCTTATAGAAATTAATGAGTAATATAAGTTAAGAATAATAAATAGTTAACAGAATATTCCATTACTAAAGTTTATAATAACGGAATGCTAGTGGAATGCAGGGTTATTTAAGGGAAGAAAAATAATATAATAGATGGTAAATAAGACAAATCATAAAAAATACTAAAATCAAAATAATATGAACCATTAATTTCAACCAACAATTACACCAACATTTGTTTGTTCCCGTTAAGAGGGCCTAACTTTATTGGATCTTATTGGACTTGTAGATTTGTAGAGAGTATATTTACCGTATTTTGTACGCTATGAATGTCATATTATATCGTGCACCGCGGTGCATAATCGATTATGCACCGCGCATCAAAACAACGTCGTTTTATTTAATGGAAAAGAAACGGAATCCGCAAAAAAAATAATTCTGTTATTCAGTTTCATTTGGTATACACTGCAGTTTCAGTTCAACACAACTACAGTTTCATTTCGATATAACTATAGTTTCATTCAATATTTATACACTCAAATATATGAAAAAGTTATTTAATTTTATTTTATATACGCTATAGTTTCATTAAAACACAATTACATGACCATTTCGATATAATTACAGTTTCATTGTACAATATACACTCAAATATGTGAAATGTTATTCAGTTTCATTTTATATATACTGCAGTTTCATTTCACCACAACTAAAGTATCATTTTGATATAACTGCAGTTTCATTTGATAATATAAAAATAATACGTGAGGCAGTGTCGATTTAAATACACTATAGTGTCTCTCCATTAACACTGCGCGGTGCATAATCGATTATGCACCGCGGTGCACGATATAACGACCCCTATATATATATATATATATATATATATATATATATATATATATATATATATATATATATATATATATATATATATATATATATTTATTTATTTATTTATTTATTTATTTATTTATTTATATATTTATTTATTTTTATTTATATTGTAGAATAATGATGATTATTATTATTAACTACTTATTCCAAATACTGCCCACTAGACCACTACTATTATAGTAATAGTAGTTATTAATTATTATTAACTACTACTACTATTATACATTGATACCATGGCTAATCATTAAGAAAATTTCATTTTTAAATTCGCCTAAACTCATACTCTTACTTAAAGAATTTATAAATATTTAGAAATATACCTAAATACGTACATACGTACATATAGTTAGTAACTATATCAATCCATAAAAAATTTAAAAATTAAATTCTTTTAATTTCTAAATGCAATTCCTTAAGATAATATGAAATATAATTAAGTAAATAGAATTATAAAATTAAATAAATATACATTCATAAATATTTATAAATCTACTTAAATACATACATATACTTATGCGCCATATTAATAATACAAAATAAAATACTAATTTTTTAATTTCTAAATATAATAATCTTAATTATAAATCTAACAATATAAATTATGTTGTGAAACCGAATGTATCATCGCGTGAACTG